TTTCATCAAATTACCTGTATTAAGAGACTACTGTTCTATAAAAGTTACTAGCTCTCCGAAACCAAAGTTGACATTGCGAGGGTGGACCAAACAATAATCGGATCATTATGACCCGCCCCAACGCGCGTGTAACATTTTACCACCACAATGACGGCGGGTTAAAGAAAGTTTTTATGACAGCAATAGTATTCTTATTAATGGTAGCGTAACAGAGAAACAGTAATCGGTAGCTTTATAAAGATTCATTCTTTCTTCCAGAAGCAATGATGAAGAGAAAGAAACGGAAAAGGATTAAAGAAGAGAGAAAGAGGAGAGTGAGAAAAGAGCATGAAGTTATTTGGGAAATAATAGGAATAGGGACAGAGAACGTAAGATGGGAGTATACAAGGTGATTCAAAACAACCTTCCATTATTAAAAGTATAAAATCCTGATAAAATTCTAAAACAACTTTTCCTCTTGCAAAATTTTGGCAAAAGCTTAGATTTTAAATTATTAACAAAAATAGTAAACCTATTGCGGGTCGGGTACGGGAGGTAGACAGGTGCAGCGCAACTCACCGTCAGACGTGGGCGCTAACGCGGAGTATCCGCAGCAATCAGCTGATCACACTACACATGTTATACACTAGCTACGTTCCAATATTCATTGCCAGCATAAAAATCTGTATTTTCTGTGATGTTAGGTGATTGTTATAATTGGCAAAAATTTTGAAAAACAGCCAGGATTGTACGCGCACACACATGCAAGCACGTTCTCGGTCTCTTCAAGTCTTCCTGTCTCTTTCTCACTCAGTCACTCGTATTCATTGCACGACCAATGCGAAGCGGCGTTCGTGCGTGGTGGGGGATAGACCAATGGACATCCCGCGACGATCGTATAAATGCGTTGAAACAATCGATGCGTTAATCAATAATCCTGCGGTTATTGGAAGCGTTAACGTCAAGACGATATGGCAGCATACACGAACGAAGAATATTATGACATGCTATTGACATTCGGAGCCTGTCACGGCCAGGTCGCCGTTGCTGCTCGAAGATACGACGAGCTGTACTCCAACCGAGCAAGACATCCGTCGCACCACGTTACAGATACAAAATACAGATTTTTATGCTGGCAATGAATATTGGAACGTAGCTAGTGTATAACATGTGTAGTGTGATCAGCTGATTGCTGCGGGTACTCCGCGTTAGCGCCCACGTCTGACGGTGAGTTGCGCCGCACCTGTCTACCTCCCGTACCCGACCCGCAATAGGTCTACTATTTTTGTTAATAATTTAAAATCTAAGCTTTTGCCAAAATTTTGCAAGAGGAAAAGTTGTTTTAGAATTTTATCAGGATTTTATACTTTTAATAATGGAAGGTTGTTTTGAATCACCTTGTATAAAGGGAAGGAAACAGAAAAGATATAAGGAAAGATATAAGGAAGATATAAGGAAACAGGAAAGAGAAAAAGATATAAAAAATGAATTGGTAAAAAAAGAGGTTGAGAAAAAAGTAGAGAATGGAGAAAAAATAAGCAAAAAGAGAGGAAAAAAGAAAGGAGGAAAAGTGGTGGAAATAGGGAAAACAGCGTGAGATATGTGAAAAAAGAGGAAAAAAGAAGAAAATGAGGCATCAACAGCATTACTGTTCTAGTTTCCTGTTTAAAATAATCAACTTTTGTCTGTAAAATATTTGTTTTTATATATTTTTCTAAACAAATAACACTACTTAACTATCATTCACCGATTCCAATGAAATTTGGCATGCACGTAGAACATTGAAAAATATTGAACACGTGTTTTTTTATATCGGCTGACAGCGCATTTTAAGGGTAGAAATCACCTCTTGATCCCTGAACATGAAAGCACTATTTCAACCCTTTATACATATTACATGTGATTTTCATCAAACTTGTCTTCCATTGAACTAGTCAGTAAGGGGTTTGTAGGGTCGCTGATTACGAATCTGGAGATAAAATTACAAAATTCAAGATGGCGGATCCAATATGGCGGACCGAAATTATAAAAAGGTGGTTGATTCAAACCAGTTTTGGTATCTGAAGATTTTAGGGGCCTCTAATTACGAATCTGAAGATAAAATTACGAAATTCAAGATGACGGAATATGGCAGATGGCGGAATATGACGCAATATGACAGATCGAAATTGTACCAGTGAAGGGGAATATTGCCTTAGGTAATTACATTTACTGAATTTAACAATGAATCGGTATTCAAAACTGACCCGTCGCGTCAGTTTTTTTCAGATTCGGAAGTTGGTCTTTGTTCACATTTAACACTGGCGCGAGTAACACGCGTACAGAGTCGGAACGAAATGAACGCCGGGACCGCTCAGCGTTGAGCGTCGCAGAGTGTAGGAAGCTACCGGATTGAGGAATAGGCAATGGGCGAAACCTTCTAATAAAAGTTTATGTTGATCCCAAGATACTTCCAAACTTCACTTTAATACACAAAATTCATCGAATATCCATTCATGCATGCACAAAGAAATCGTTATGACGGCGATACACCTGAACAACTTCGGGAGTGGTAACGCTAGAATTCGGACAGAAATCTTGGGGCCCTCGGACACTGCTTCAAAACGACGCGACGGAGATCTTGCCGAGCGCTAAGTTAGCGCCCTTTCGGAGCGGAGATCTTGAGCGCGCAAGAACGAGTTTCGCGAGAAGCAGAAGGATTCGCGACCGCGGTTTCCCGCTTCCCAACTGTTTGTAGAATAAATTGTTCGACAAGAAAGTTACTGTCCAAGACAAAGTATAGTGACCGGAATGCACTGAGTTCACTTAATATGATGTACAAGAGTCGCGAATGGGCTGCACGAGATGCAGGCGTACGTGACAAGCTAAATGAAAGAGAATTGAACGCGACGATCCGCTAAATGACGCGACGTAATAACGAATTGTCCGATCACCGAGAGCATGTACGAAAATCACGGCGGTTAGACAACACGCAAGATGGTTTTTGATTGGCTGCCCGACATCGGATGATCCGCGGCAAGAAGAAATCACGCGAAAGGATTGTGACAGACAGCAAAACATTTGAGCACGAGCGAGCCACGTGCCGAGCGGTCGCGATATGGAAATACCGAAATTATAATTATCACCGACAGCCCGAACGCCGATCGACCGAATCTCAAACAGTCTTCCAGAAGATTATTATCCGTCAGTATCCGAGCAGAATATGTAATGATATTCTAACATATCTTGATAAGATATAGATATAGATATCTTGATCTCTTATGCCTTATATTTATTCATTTATTTTATTATATATTTATTCATATTCATTCATATTATTTATTTAAATTCTGGACTTGAACAGCAAAAAATCTGTTAATGTTCAAAATGTTAATTTTAACGTCCAGAAAATTTATATAATTGAATATAAATATATAAAATATGTTCGTGCGCGTCGCGATTTTGTCCGTTGGCGAGCGAGCTTTCGCTGCCGTCGATTGATCACACGCGCGTAGTGCATTAGGCTGATACCACCCAGTACAAAGACGCGAGGACGGTTCGTGATCCTTGAACAAGGAAGAATGACCGAAGACCGGGAGATTTTACTCTTCTCAATAGTTATATTTGAACTGTGAGACTTGACACGATTCACCAAAGACAGCACAACAACGGCGCCGACGATAATGATAGTTATTCACATAGTTCACAATGTTATCGGCGACGGGCGCGACGGTTACCAAAACCGTGATAAATACAGTTTGCAATGATCGCAAGACGACGATCTCACTCTCGCACCGACTCACGACGACCCGAACGGCGTAATCCTCAAGAGCGGTAGGTGGGATCGTGAATCGATGAGCGCAGGGCTACGAGTCCCCGGTGGAACGAAAATCGGTATTCATCCGCTCGACTCGCTGCTTTTCTCTGGCGGTCACCAATCTGCACGATCTCCTCTCAACGGGAGCGACCGATCCGCTCATCGATCCGCGTTGCGCAGATATTAGAATTTGCTGGCTAATTGCTCCCGCGCATGCGTATCGCAATCAACACCAAGCGGATTAGTGGCTCCCTCCGAGCGCGCATGCCTTGTACAATTCAGAGGGCACCACGAAGAAGAACTGAAAGAAGCCACCGAAAACGCGTGAGAGCAACGCACCGGCGAGCGCGGCGTCGATCACGACGTCAACACGAGCCACCGCTGATGTAGAGCGGTGTCGATCGCCCATTGGCTAACGAGCGATGAGCGTAGTCTGCCCGCGCCTTAAGCGCACGACTCGAGCACGCGTGCTTTTTCCACGACTTAAGGTGGTCGTGGGTATTTCTTATTGAAGCGAACAACAAGAAAGACTTATCAATGTTAGTATCGATTCGACTGATGTCGCGCCGGTTTCATGTGCTCGTTACGATCCGCTCGAACCGCAAACAATTTCACCCTTGCGCGAACAAATATCCTTGAAAGTTTACAATAAACCTTCTTAAAAATGTTACAATTAAAACACATTACACTAATAATAATAATAATAATAAAGTGCGACAAACGAATTATATTTTGACTTCCAACTTCAGATTCGTAATTAGAGGCCTCAAAAACCTCCAGATACCAAAATTGGTTTGAATCAACCACCTTTTTACAATTTCGATCCACCATATTGGATCCGCTATCTTGAATTTTGTAATTTTATCTCCAGATTTGTAATCAGCGACCTTAAAAACCCCTGAGTTCAATGGAACTAGTTCAATGGGAGACAAGTTTGACGGAAATCACATGTAATATGTACAAAGAGTTGAAATAGTGCTTTCATGTTCAGGGATCAAGGGGTGATTTCCACCCTTAAAATGTGTTGTCAGCCGATATAAATAAACACGTGTTCAATATTTTTCAATGTTCTACGTGCATGCCAAATTTCAATGGAATCGGTGAGTGACAGTTGGGTAGTATTACTTGTAAGAATATTTTAAGTGGGTATTAAAAATGTCCTGTTTAACAAATGTTTATTATTAGTGCAAAGTTTTCATCTAGATATTAATAAAAAGAAAAATACTTTTGCATATCCATGGTTGGCTGGAGCGCAAAGAGCAGCAACGCTGAGCGCAGTTCTGTCATCGTTATCGGCGTGATCGATTTTAGCTCCAAAATCTAGGAGATGTTTTACAATCTCGCTATGACCCATGTATGCTGCAGCAATCAAAGCAGTTCTACCTTCGTCATCTGTTCTATTAACGTCCGCACCATGCTGTAAAAGTATCTTAATAATATCTTCATGTCCACCCCATGCAGCTGCTCGTAATGCTGTTCGTTGATCCCAATCAGCGCAATCTACCATTGCCCCTTGTTTTAAAAGTTGTTCGACTACCTGAAATAAAACTTATGTAAAATATTTCATTCGGCTATATACAATTTATTTATGAACATTTTAAGAATATCTTCTTTAAATTAATTTCTAATTGGTAACAACAAATATATTTAATAAGAGTATGTACAACATAACTTGTAGTTAGTAAAAACTACACTCGAAATATTTACATTATCTGATAGAGAACACTTTTTTCCTTAATGCTTTGTATTAGGTGCGCAACTAAGTTCCCCCTGTTTTTCAAGAGATGGCTCCAGTAGTAAGTGCTAGTCGATTGTGATACAACCAAAACGTCATGAACCAAGCTTAGACATATGGTAAACAAACCGCTTTGACACATTAGTGATTTTGTTTTTGCGTCATATACTTTTGGTTGTGTGAAAATGTCTTATTTTGTGCCAAATAATCGTCATTTGCGGGAAGTGTTGCTTTTCTTCTTTCATTCGAAGAAAACGGCGGCTGAAGCGCATCGAGAACTCCAAAAAGTTTACGGAGATGCTGCTCTAAGTGAAACAACGTGCCGTGATTGGTTCCGTCGCTTCAAAGACGGTGATTTCGATGTTGACGACCGTTCGCGTGAAGGAAGGCCAAAAACCTTCGAAGACGCTGAATTGGAGGCATTGCTCGATGAGGATCCGTGCCAAATGCAAAAAGAGCTTGCTTCAGCATTAGGAGTTACCCGCCAAGCCATTTTCAAGCGATTGCATGCGTTGGGAATGATTCAAAAACAAGGAACTTGGGTTCCTTATGATTTGAAGCCAAGAGACGTTGAACGTCGTTTTTTCGCCTGTGAACAACTGCTCCAGCGGCAAAAAAGGAAGGGTTTTCTTCATCGCATCGTTACGGGTGATGAAAAATGGATTCATTAGCCAGCAACCCAAAGAGAACAAAATCATGGGGACTGCCCGGTCATGCTTCTACGTCGTCGGCTCAGTCGAATATTCACGCTGCGAAGGTTTTGCTGTGTATTTGGTGGGACCAGGGCGGTGCTATTTATTATGAGCTGTTGAAACCGAACGAAACCATCACTGGGGAACGGTATCGAACTCAATTGATGCGATTGAGCCGAACACTGCGCGAAAAGCGGCCACAATACGAGCAGAGGCACGAAAAAGTGATTCTACAGCATGACAACGCTCGGCCTCACGTTGCCAAACCCGTTAAAACCTACTTAGAAACGCTCAAATGGGAAGTCCTACCCCACCCGCCATATTCCCCAGATATTGCGCCGTCCGATTATTACTTGTTCCGTTCGATGGCACATGGTCTGGCTAATCAGCAGTTCCGCTCATATGAAGACATCTCAAAATGGCTTGATTCGTGGATAGCCTCAAAAGACGAACACTTCTACCGTGACGGTATTCGAGCTCTGCCAGAAAGATGGGAAAAAGTTGTCGCTAGCGATGGGCAATATTTTGAATGATTCATTTGTAACCATTTTTTCACAATAAAGTTGCATTTTCATCAAAAAAACAGCGAGAACTTAGTTGCGCACCTAATACTAAAACGTTCAGTTGTTTTCGGAACTTTGTTATGTCATTTCTACCAAGATACTATGCCGCATACGCTTCGCGTTTCGAAGCTATCTTTCTTTGTCCACACCCGAAAAGACCAGAAATGTTATTAGCAAGTGCTGCTAACAAGGGGAAGACCAGAAATGGCCTTCTCTAATTTCGACGAGCTTGATATATGTTATAGTATTACTCCCCGCCTCCCCAATAATAAAGGGTAAAATCACTCGATACAACGCTCAAACATTCGCGAGAAAAGTGAGTTTAAAATTTTCGCTGTTTTATATGTACCGAATAGTAAGAACAGATTGCCAGCGAACAGCCGTAGCTGAAGCCGTAAGGCGACGGACTAGTATGCTATAGCACTGCATGTCACGAATTCGAATCTCGCTTCTTTTCATTTCTTTCACTTACATTTACATAAATGTACATGTATATACATATATAATTATACAACATATTTTTAGAAAAAATATTCTTTTTGTGCATTTATTCATTATATTTATTTTTATTCGCTATTATTCGTTATATACAGTATATATGTTACAGTTAAAGTGATAAATCCAGTTACTATGCATAATAACCAGCAGCTTTAATTAATTTGACAAATTATTCATATTTTAATAAAATTTATTACATTAACGGGTTATGAATAATAACCAACACGCTCTGGTTAAAGTTATAAATCTCATGTGCATGCGTTTGAAACTCCATCAAATTTATAACTTCATTTTTTTCCATTCTAAATGAGTTAATCACTGCACGTTGCGCGTGCACATTTCGAAAGAGTTCTTTTGCTAAAACTCTGAAAGACGGGCCTATACACCAATGACCTTAATCTTGTAATATACGTTGTCAAGAAGATTCATCTGAGTAATTATCTGCAAAAATTAACTGCCAAACGACGTTAACTTAAAAAATATAGCAAACAAAAGTTTTATATGTGAGATACTGCCTATCACAAGCGTGCAAACTGCACGCGTAGTTATTAAAACCCACTCATAAGTTGCAAGTGCGTTTTGCATCGCGCGCTACGCACACGGTTGTTAAAACCCACGCATAAGTTAAAAGCGCGTAAGCTACACGTATGGTTAATAAAACATACGCGTAAGTTTGGCGTAAAATATGGCGTCGACCCCGGGGCTTATTTATATGATTTGCACCGGATAAGGAGGGGCAACGGTGGAGGCCGGCATACATGGACAGCAGGTCTTAAAAGGATAGCAACCTTTGACTTTGAGAGACTGTCAGCTTGTACCACCAGGTACAAGTAACAATGCCTCTCTCTGTAGTCGCCGTGCGCTCGGGATAGCACTAGAGATGTCGCTTCCGAACGACATCTCTCAACGTTATCTGGGGAGGGGAGAGTGTCGTGAGCGTGGAGCGTCAGATAGCTCAGTGGTCTAGAGCAGTCACCCGGCAAGCGAAAGACCCGGGTTCGATTCCCGGTCTAGCGACTACCGCGCTCTCGATATTTTTCTCTCCTCGGAACGAAAATAAGATGCAGGCCAAGTTACCATGAAAGAAGGGCGTACTAGGTGGCGACGGGACGCCGTGCGATCGGGACCTGCATCTTATTTTCGTTCCGAAGAGAGAAAAATATCGAGAGCGCGGTAGTCGCTAGACCGGGAATCGAACCCTGGTTTTTCGCTTGCCGGGCGACTGCTCTAAACCACTAAGCTACCTGACGCTCTACGCTCACGACATTCTCTTTTCCCTAGATGACGTTAAAATATGTTCGGAAGCGATTTTGCATCGCATTTTGCAAGAGCATTTTGTATCGCGCGCTGTGAGCGTCCAATTACGCGAGTAGTATAGGGGTAGGTATGGCCAGACAAAACATTTCCCCTCCACTCGACCCTCCGGCGCCACTAGACCACGCCCACTGGCGCCGGAGGATCGAGGTGGAGGGGGCATGTTTTGACTGGCCATACCGACCCCTAAGGCCTGATTGGTTGATTTTTTACATATGCAAATTATGGACGTGGCTAGTGAACGGCGGAAATTGGCGGAAATTTGAATCACCGGAATAAAAATTAGCGTAATCTAAATATCAAATTTTTATTATTCATATTAGGCATTAGTGATCCTAGCTCTTTGTCAGCTGGTTAATTTGCATATTACTTTTGGAAAAATCTCCTAGGCACTCTGCGAGGCTTGAACCCGGGACCTCAGGCTCTTGAGTCAAACCCGTCTTATCACTGCTCTACTGCTACTTTTTGGTGGAAACTGGTTTCACGACGTATACGTAGAACAGAAAGAGGTGTGTGTGTGTGTGTGTGTGAGTGTGTGTGTGTGGTTAATGCCGCATGCGAAGTTCTCTGAAAAAATCCTGTAGGCCCTCCTAGCCGAATTCGAACCTGGGTCCGCTGGCTTTCGAGTCAAGCGTCTTATGCACTATGCTACTGCTATACCCTGATGAAGACTAGCTACTAAGTGTGCAACTAAGTTCCCGGGTTTTTTTGATCAGTGAAAAATGGAAACTTTCAAGAGAAATACAAAAAATGGTTTATTCAAAGTATCGTCCCTCGCTAGCTACACATTTTTGCCATCTCTCTGGCAATACATGAATACTGTGACGATAAAACGATGCGTCTTTGGACCGAAACCATTCATCCAACCAATTTTGCACTTTTTACAAATTGACCGAGTATTGCCCAGCCAAGCCATACGCCATTGACCAGAACAAGTAATAATTAGAAAGGGCCAGATCTGGCGAATACGGCGGGTGCGGTAGCAGATCCCATTTCAGCGTTTTGATGGTATCTTGGATGATGGAAGTGCGATGGCACGGAGCGTTGTCATGCTGCAATATCACTCGTTCGTGTCTTGTGTCCCATTCTGGCCGTTTTTCGAGCAATGCATGGTTCAAATTGATCAGTTGTTGTTGGTAGCGATGCCCATTGACAGTTTAGCCCGGTTTCAGCAGCTCATAGTACATGATTCCTTTCTGGTCTCACCAAATGCAGAGCATTGTCTTCTTTCCGAAGCGATTTAGTCGTGCCGTCGATGTTGATGCTTCGCCAGGTGAAAGCCACGATTTCTTGCATTTGGGATTCTCGAAATATATCCACTTCTCATCGCCAGTAACAATTCAATGTAGGAAACTTTCTTTCATGCCACAAAAGCAAAATTTCGAAAGTGGCTCTTCGATTTTCCACCTGTCTCTCAGTCAACTCATTTTCCTTCCTTTTGAATTTTTCCTATGGCATGTAAACGTTTGGAAATATCTTGACGAGTCATATTTAATGCCTCCGCAAGTTGATCTTGTGTTTGTGTTTCATCTTCATCCAATAACGTTTGCAGATCCGCGTCCTCCTGCTTGTTTTTGGTCTTCCGGAGCGCTCCTTGTCCTTAGTGTCGAAATCGCAACTTCTGAAGCGTTTAAACCAATCTTCACAGGTAGTTTTCGATTGTGCATGTTCGCCGTAGGCCTCCTCAAGCAAACGACGTGCTTCAGCTGCACTTTTTTTCAAGTTAAAGCAGAAA